AGCAGGGTAGTATAGAAAAGGTATATTGCTTGAGTTTACAAGATAGAATATACTGGGAGCATAGACATTATCTAACAACCCAGACACTTGTTCCGGCGATATGCTACTATCGCAGAGTGTTAAGGCTAATAAAAGTCAACCCTAACGGCTGTGATTTTCCAGGAGAAGAGAAAAGTCATGGGAAGGCCAGAGTGGTAGGAAGAGTATATTCCGTACACAATAAATGAAAGAATAAGCAGTAGGAAATGGACTATCAGATGACTGCACACCCGCAAGCCAGCGGACAGCGTCTGAAGTGATTTCTGCTCGGAAGTCGTCACATGAGGTCCTATGTGAGTCGGCCTGTGATTGGCTGTTAAGAAGGCCAAAGTGCACTTCGACTTGAGCTAGTCACGATAAGCGTTCACGAATGCACTTAGTGTGGAGCCAGCCACTACAATGCCATGGAATAACACAAGTGTGAGGATTTCGGCTCAGCAATCGGTCCCAGCGCTGCCAGTAACCCCAGTTATATGCTAATGGCTGTCTATCAGCAGTCTACTGAATTTTACGCGATTTTTCCGTCATGTGTTCATGTAGGCCAGGGGTCGGCAACCTTTTTAACTCAGAGAGCCAATAAAGCAAATATTTGGGAATATATTTCAGTGAGAACTATATTACATATTTTAAGATTGAATTCAATTAAATGTGAGTATAATAAGCCTCTGAATTTATTCTTTAAAATAATGTTGTTATAATACTCACCGTTAATGCGGCATTTCTGGTGCTGCATGGATTCGCTGATGGCTTTGTCGTCTAATTGGTAGTTTGTAAGGTTGAGCTTCATGCAAGCATTGAGGCTTTCATCCGTTAGACTTGATCGTAGGATGGGCTTGATGTATCTAAGATGTGAGAATGACTGCTCACATGCATACGTAGATCCAAACAGGGTCAACACAGCAATACTCACAGGCTGCAGTTTGTGGAAGCACGTTCCAAGTTTTGATAATCAGTTGGTCTTCATGTTGAAGTTTTTTCATTTCTGTCCACATGTGGTGGCTCGCCAACTCCGCTTTCTGTCGTGCAACTTTTTCCAAATCTTCATTGAGTGACTTGAACTTATTCATCCACATGTCTGTGGCCTTCAGGTCAACCACCTCCAGAATCTCTAACGGAGACACCAGGAATGTAACTAAGGTCGGCTGTGTTCAGTGAGCACTCAGTTGGATGGGTGATGAACTTAAAAAGACGATTTTGCTCACGAACTTCTCCAAAGCGTGCTTTGAAAGACTGTAGGAGACTGGATTTGAAGTCAGCTAGCTGGTGGAGATCAAAGTTTTGAGTGGACTCATTGTGTATGCATCTTTATATTGTGTCAGTTTTCGAAAGGTAGTAAACGATCTGTTTTCAGATCCACTATAAAGAGCTCTAACTTGTTTTCAAAAGCAAACAAGGATTGTTGAACGGATAACACTGTGCTTCCATTGCCTTGCATTCCGATACGCGTCTCGGCTGCGGCACGTCATTGGAGGAACTGAAATCACAAAATCTGAAGTTACAAATTCCACTTTTATCTGAAAGAGCCAGCTGCAATCATCAAAAGACCCGCACTTGGCCCGCGAACCATACGTTCCCGACCCCTGGGGTAACCCCAGTATATGCTAATGGCTGTCTGTCAGCAGCTTGCGGAAGAGTACGCGATTGCTTCGCCATGTGTTCACGTAAACGAAAGACGTCTAGGCAGGAGTTTCCTTGGTAGTGGTCTTGGATACAACAAGCCGTAGGTTGT